TTGTTTTTAGCATCGCTTATAACAGCAAACACGTAGGAAACTCAAAAAGCCTATCAGTAAATCACAGTACATCTACAAAATGGGATAAAATGCTGCTGCCACAAAAGAATGAGACAGATCTCTACATGCTGATGAGGAAAACCTCCAAGTAATATTGTGAAATAAAAGCATGTGTGTATCTCAACACATCTAAGTGTTCATTCTTGAAAATTCTGGAAGCAAACAGGAAAAACTTAAGGTGGTTATGAAACTACTTTTAAAAAGTGGTTGAGAAACAGGACTGAGATTATATAGAATGTGGCTATCCCAAGTATTTTAAACTCTTCTGTACTATTTATTTTTATCATGTGTATGTATTATTTTTCATTAATAAGGATAATGACTACATGCTGTATATTCTGCATGGTCTGGATGCATCCACTCGCTCTCTGAAGTGGGAAGAGAGCATCCTTTGGCAGCCACCACAAGGTAAGCCAGGACACCTATTAAGTGGGTGCTTGGCCAACCTTCCGGAACCAGGCCAGGCACCTCCGGAGGTTGCTGAGGCCCCTGCACTCACTGACTTTATCCTCCTTTGTGTGGCCTAGATGCATGAGCGAAGAGAAATTTTAATCTCTGTTCTTCCAGGTTTAGATCTGCATTATTCATTTCTGAAAATCTACCCTGAAAGGGAATGAGTAGAGTTATTCCACTGCAAGAGAGAAGGAAAATCAGTGTTTCCTCTAGTGCTATTCATTATGCAAAAAACACAATCTGAGAAAAATGCTTTCAACTTTAAAGCACAGTGCCTGCCATTCTTTTAAACCCTACAAGAATGAGAAAGATCCGACTGCAAGGGGCTTTCTTTCCCAACTAGCGTCTCTTCTGTTTGCCTTGCTCAGAGCAGTAAACAACTCTTTCAACTAAAACTGCTTCCCCAGGAGAAATCAGAGTATGTTAAAGATGAAAAGATAAAGTGAAATCCATACATTTTTTCATGTTGAAAATCTTAAAGACTATGTGAACTGTTTTGTACTTATTCCATCAAAGAAATACTTCCGGCCCCATGGGGTGGGTGGGGGTGGGGGAGAAAAAAGGAAGAGTCACAGGAAATCATGCCTGTTTTCCCCCCTTATTATTTGACCCAAGTCTTGGGGTAGGGAGACTAATTAGTTAGTATCAAGTGATATTAACTAATTTTCCAAGTTGTATAAAAGAAATCCCATTTATGGTGCTTTTCCTTTGTCAGAAGGTTGTAATACACAGGCATTTACCTAGGTTGTTTTATTTATACATCATTTATTTGGGGGGACTTTATTAATGAATATACAAAGTAAGGCCAAATGTCTATTTGAAAAAGTCTCTGAGCTGAACAACTTTGCCCACTAAACCTGATTTTATATAAGCATTCTGACAAAAAATAACAGTGATTTCATTTTTGTTTGGAGGGGTGTGAAAGTAATTAGTTAAATGAACCAGCTATAGCCTGGTGCACTGAGCTGTCTGTGGTACTGAAAAACGACACCAAACTGAAACGTACTGAACTCTGCTCTTTCAAAGCCTCCCCCGTGACACTGTATTAATTCACACACTTCTGTCCATGACTCACCTGACCATCTTATTTTGCCAGAGCGTGTATAAACATTTTACCGAAGGTCACAGTGACTTGCTTTCCAAGGTTCTCTTTGGAAACATCAGGGCCTCCCGATGCTTCCTTAGTCAGTTCTGGTATACAGAGCCAGAACTGGCTGTAATGCTTACTTTTCCTGAATGCAGTGGGAGATCATGCCATGTACCAGAAACCCACACTAGCCAGCTCGTGCTATCTAGTCATCACACTGATATGCTAAGAAGAAAAAAAATGTTGCTTTAGACTACATGCTACACACAAGGACATGGTCACGATGGCAAGGTAAGCCCTGCATTTGGTTCCTTGACTCAGAGCTAATCAATATATTGGGAATTCTTACTAGTAAACTGAGGTTACCTATTTGCTGAAGACTTATGAAAGAAATGCACTTATAGCAGTGACATCACAAGTAAAACAATAAGCCTGTGCACTTGAGTCTGATTAGCTTCAGAGTGAAGTATTTCAGCAGTACCTCTGACTCTTCTCTGCACCAATCAGAACATCCTCAAAAGGGAAAAAAAAAGAAATTGGGGCAACTGTAATAGAATAATCCATTTTAAAAATACTTTATTTCCAAAAATAAATGATAACATTCCTATTTTTTTTTCTGGTCCTTCACTTCTAGCTCAGGGTCTCTACATTCACGTAGTCTTCTCCCATTTTATATTGTTTTAAAAAGCACTTCTGGTGAGAATTTATAGAGCTTCAGCTTGAGAGGAAATCCCTCTAGATCAAAGATTTTCAACGGGTGTGCCACAAGAAATTTAAAAACATGCAATGCCTGGCTGTTTGGTCAGGAGCACTGACCCCTTTTTCCTTAAATGGTCAAACTAAAAAATGACAACAGCCAACACAACTATAGTGTGCAGTGTAACTAAATCAGAGTAATACCTATTCTTTTGTCATATTAGAAAAAATATATTTTTTGGTGTGCTACAGAAGTTTAGCGATTAGTGTCTCTGTGCCATGAGATAGATGAAAAAGGTTGACAATCACTGCTCTAGATAAAATACTGAGCATAAAATCTACATTCAAAACAACTAAATATTACCCAAGCATGCATTTAAAAATTATATGAAGTATGATTTGTTGAACAGAAACCATGTGTCATATAAAATAAACCCAATTTAAAAAATCTAACATTCTGTAATGTTTATATCGCCCCACAGAAGAGAGGTTTGTTTGCTATGCTTATCTGCAGCCTCACGTTCTAACCCATGCCACGTGCACACCAGTGGACCCATCCACGCATTGTGTAACGGAGACTGCCCTCCAAATTAGCCAGTGAGGGGAATTCTTTCAGCTCTGACATAATCCATAAAAATATAATTTCCTATATTTTATTACTTCTGTAATTTTCTAAGAGTTCTAATGTGGTTTCACATATTTTTACAACATGCGATTAACATTTGGCAGCTCCTCTCGGACTCCTGTAAATTATTTCCAAAAATATCTCAACCATTCCTAAAAAGTCAGTGTTTTTAGGAAGTTTTGATGTTTATACCGTCAAATATCCTTCCTCATGTATGCTTGTATAGCTGTGTGCTTTTCAGAAGAAATGGGATAATACGAAAGCTGATGATAAAAGAAAAAAAGAAAACAAAACAAACAGCAGTCTCTTTCCAGAGTCGATTAAGTAATTAAGTAAAACCACTCTGGTCTCCAGGCAAAGATAGTTACTTGACCTTTTACCATACCTCAATAACATTTTATATTAACATTTTAAGTTAAACACTATTCATCTATCAAACCTTTGGACTTAGAAAGAAACCACAAATAAATGTGCACGTGGCAAGGCTGATGGCCAGCAGTAGCAGAGCACAGCAGGACGCATCTGGACTCAGGCTAAGAGGATGGGGCCTGGTCACGCTCTGCACTGTCTGGCTGCAGGATCCAGCGAACTGCGCACCTCTTCTGATGTCATGTTCCTCATCTGTAAAGTGCGTCAAACATCTTTAGACCTATCTTGTTCCTTCCAGCTCTGTCCACTCTTCAAGTCAAAATGAAAAGATACACTCCTAATATTTTAGTTACATTTTAGTATCACTTTAAAATGTTTCAATCTCTCAAAGGTCCATTATCATTAGTTAGTACCTAATTAAAGGCAGATGTATGTAAATTATTAAATTTTAAATAGTTCAAATGTGTGTTATGTCTGGTTTTCCCAGTGCAGTTTTATTACTTACCTCCAAATATTCTCTTTCTAATTCTCCAACCTCATTCCCTCAAAATCACACTTTTCAAAGTTTTTGCAAATTTGAAAGCAAGATGAATTAATTTCTCTCTCCTCATTGGGATTCATGTCATTTTTATTTTGTTTGGGCAACAGCTAAAATTGGCTTCTTCTGTATTTAGTACATGTTTGCTAATTACTAACTTAATATTAATTTAATATATAATTAATGCTAAGTTCCTTAAATGGCAAGTTCTATAAATGCTTCAGATTACCACTCTTAATGGAAAGCAGGTTAAATTTAAGGGTTTAATAGTTCTACCTAAATGTCTATCAACTGTTCCAAAAATATCAGAAAATACATATTAGGTGTAAATTCTACACTGGAAAACCCCGATCATGCTTAATATTTGAAAACCCTAGCTATTTTATTTCACAAAACTTAATATTCCTTTGACTGAAGGCTACAGCAAAGTAAACAGCTCAAAATATGACCCATGAATTTTGTACAGAGGATTTCAAAATCATCATTAGCAGCCAAATCCAACAATAGAGCTCCTGGCTGCATTTAGAACATTTTCCTAGCAAGACCTCTCACAAGGGCAGTAGCCTTCGCTCTTGAATGACATTTTTTAAAAAAATGATGCAATGTTTGTAGCTAAGAATCTACCAAACACCATATATACAGAACTTGTATTCAAAACTTATAACAATTATTTTTTAATGTTGGGGGATGTAGAAAGGGTTAGAGCTTTTGTCATGTCTTATTTATATACATTAGCTAGGAATATCACCAGCCTATTTTCCTCCCTAAACTACATTATAGAAAATGGTACAGAAGGACACAATCTTCTATAATGAGGCACCCATTAGGAAGAAGTGGTATCAAACTAGAATACACGTTTACCCTACAGGTTATAAGGCTAGTACATAACTGGCATTATGGGAAGCAAGTGCAGAGTGGATCTACCTGAAAGATAGGGGGACATCTGAAGGGTGTAGTCAGTACATCCCAGAAATGACTGAGTGTTTACATGCTGCACTATTTTGTTTTTAACTTCTTTAAAAAACAGGCCATGTGCTACTGTAAGAACACAGCATGTATCTTCTGTAACCTCAAGCAAGGACACGAGGGCTTGGAAAACAGCTCTGCTGCTTTGAGCTTCTCCAGGCTGGTGGCATGACTGGGTCATTCATAAACAGAAGAAGCTAAGTTACCTGTATTTCCCTGGCGTGGTACACGATGATCAGACCCAGCAGAATGATCGTGGAGAGACTGATAAGGCATTTCAGAGCTAAGGAATACAGCGACGCCTGCAACACAGTCAGACAGAAGCACTTTTAAGAAAGAAGCACTTTTAACCACCTAGGCCCTGAGGGGTTAGGAGGGTGGGAGGGTCAGTCAGTCCCCTAGCAAGTGGGCCTGAACTCCCAGCCAGGGTTGGGGGCGGGTAGGGGTGGGGGGCGAGGGGTGAGGGGCTGTCTTGGCTCTGTGATCTGTCAGATCACTTGTCCTCAAGGCAAGACAGGAGAGGAGAGAGGGGAAGGCCGGTGACCAGGCAGCCAGGCAGCAGGATCTCGCCATCGCAGACCCAAGCGCAGCTACTAGCTCTGGAAACCGGAAAGAAGTTAGTTATTCCTCAGTTTAAGCGCTCCAGGTTGAAAGGGGCTTCATTCCCAGCGCCAGAAAAGGATTAGAGTGCCTTCCCCACCGATTCCTGGAACCATTTAGTTAATCTACCCAAACGCGCTGGGCAATCACTGCCTCCAGAACTTTGTGCGCGCGTGGAAAGGCTTGCTCTCTGGAGTTGCCTCAAGGACTAAGCGTGTCCATCTGAGCCATGCTTGCTGTCCCAGCGGGCACCTCTGATTGTCCCGGGAAAGCTCGCAACTGGCAGGCAGGAAGTTCTCGCCAGTGCCAATCTCAACCACCCAACATCCCACTCTGCAGCCTTGGACTAGCGAGCAGAGGGTCGAGCGCCTACCTTGTCGTACGCGCCCCACGACAGCTCGGTCTCGATGACCATAACCACGATACCGAACATGCCGAAGATGAGCGCGTAGTCGCTGAGACGCTTGCGCTTCTCAAACAGGGCGCGCCGGTGGCCCAGCTTGTAGCCGATGTTCTGGTTCTTCTTTTTGCTAGACTTAGTGCCACTGCTGCTGCCGTGCCCGCTGCCGCTGCCACCACCGCCACCGCCTCCCGTGCTCCCGCCACCGCCGGCTCCATAGAGCGCCAGGTTATTGGAGTTGTTGTGCTCCGGCTTTGACACCACGATCTCCGGAGCTGAGGATGAAGCGGCGGCAGCGGCGGCAGCTGCAGACGGGGACGACCCACCGCCACCTCCTCCTAAGGACACGGGTGGCTGGAGGGGTTGTGCCTCTGAGTCCATCTCGTGCAGGTTCCGGCGGGACGAGCTCAAGTTGCTCAGCGGCCGCATGACGCCCCCGTTGTACCTGCAGCTGCTCATGGCTATTTCGGTGAAGGGGTTGCTCTCACGGCGTGCCTGGGGCTGGTGGTGCTGGTGGTGCGCTGGGTGCGGAGGGTGGTGGTGGTGGTGCGAGAGCGGGGGCCCGGAGCCCAGGCTGCCGAGGCTGCCCGTGGGGCTGGCGGCGGGCTGCAGGCTGTGGCACTGGTGGTACTGGGAGGCGGACGCCGGCTGCTGCGCGTACTGCTGCCGGAGCGCACTGGCATGGCTGGACGGAGTCAGCTCGCTCACATTGAGCTGGCTGCCCCGGCGCGACGAGCAGCAGCAGCAGCACGATGAGCCTGACAGTGGCGAGGAGGTGCGGGTCCGGAAGGCGCCGCCGGGCGATGAGGTGCGGAGCAGCAGGGACAGGTTATCCCCAGCCCCCGCCCCCGCCACGGGGGCACCGGAGGAGGCGCAGCTGTTGCACCGGAGGCATGGGCTGCTGCCACCGCTGCCCGGCTGCTGGTGCGCGAGGTGCGGATGGTGATGTGAGTGCGGGAGGGGCGCGAAGGGCGGGCACGGCTTGTCCTGGCTCTGTTGCTGCTGCTGGCAATGCAGGTGTGAGGAGCGCGGTGGCGGCTGCTGCTCTGAGAAGAAGCCGCGCTGGAACTGCAATGAGGTTTCCATGTCAGGGCTGTTAAAGCTGCAGGGAGTCCAGGCGGTGGTGCACCCTGCGCAATGCGTTATGGTCGGGAGCGGGGACTCCTGCTGCTGGTGCGAGGAAGGGCCCATGCCGGCTCCGGTAGAATCCAGGCGGCGAGTCCGATTGGTTGGGCTCACCAAAACAATGGGCATGACATCACCTGCGGGGACCAAGACTGAGTTTGCAGCGTGCGGCTTAGGGGAGTGTATGTGAGAGAAAGAAAGATAGGGAGGGGTATCTGCAGGATGAAAACCCAAGGGTGCACAGAACTAGGTGAGGGCAGGGGTTCCACCTGCTGACCGGGAGCGCCTGTGAGCGCCACTAAGGACAGGGAGCCCCCAACCAGTGCAGCCAGGTTGCAGGGGCAGGAGGAAAGAAAGGGATGTCCCTCCTTCCTGGGCCACCGCCCACCTAACTATTGTTGGATGTGCACTCTAATCACCTGCGCGGGTACTGCAGCACAATGGACAACCCAGCAATGGGGCAGGCTCAGGGACAGTGCGGAACCCGAGCTACCCCACCGCTATGCACTCCTCAAAGGGCAGTGGAACAGCAGTCCCCTCACCCTACAGCCACCTCTACTTAATTGTCCTGCAGAGAGTAGGCTGTCGACTGACAGCCAAATAACTGTGGGGAACCCGCTTTGGAAAGAATAAGTTTGGCGACAGGCTACATGAGTGCAGCCGGGCTTGGGGAGAACTCTGGGGCCTGAGCTTAGGTTTGGCCTTAAAATCAGACCGGGTTGTACCCATCGATCTACCCCGACCACTGCGCTCCAGCACCCTGGAGTCGGGATTGGTTGCGCAGAGTTTTGTCCCTAATGCACTGTGGAGCGGGTAGGGTTAACTGCTTAGGCACTCGGGCCGGGGGAGGATGGGGGCGGGGCTGGAGAAGGGGATCCCCGCCGACTGCGGGAGGAGCCCTCGCGGGCTTCCTGGGTCCCCCTGGCGGGGGCGGAGGGCTTTCCCCGCTACGGCTCGCTCACATTTTCGCTTTCTTCGAAACATGAGGGGCTGGCGCCCCCGGCCGCCGGGTCCCAGGCTCCCGCGCTCAGGCCCTCCGACTGCCTCAGTGAGTAGGTCTGTGGGTTTCTCCGGCCTTGGAGAGGCAGCTTGCTGGAGGGTCTGGGGGTTGCTCTAGGATCGCTGGGCGCCAGATTCTCCTCCTTGGTTCCTGTTTCTCCTCCCCACCTGCAACGCAGACACAAAGCAAAGTCAGGTCACAGAAGCACAAACACTGAGCATCTTCTTTGCCAAACCCTGACTGCGGCGGCGGGTGGGAGAGGGGCCTGGCACCAGCTGATTCACACCAGTAGTCATAGCCAGGCTGCGAAATTACTAATAGTGATCAGTCGGGCAGAATAACAGCTACCCGAGGATAGAGTTGGATTTTTGCAAGAATTAGGTATACTAATTATTTTACTCCCCAACAAACCAATAAAAATTGCATTTTGTGTTTCACAAATCTCCTGTGACATGTGCTTCTCTTAAGTGACGGAACAGTTCAAAGCAGTAGCGGACCCTTTCGAGGATTCTTTGTTACTGCTCCATCTTTAGTGTTTATTGCCTTTGTAACTTGAAATTCTCCCCTCCCCCAAAAGGAAAGAGATTGGCCAGTTGAATATTTGTTTCCATTTTTTATCGTGATTTTAAAGCACGATTTTTATTCTAGAGATTATTATAATGAATTAGATACACCAAGAAATTAGAGTGAAAGCAGATCACCCTCCTCATTAGGTAATTGGAATTCTCAGCTGGATCCAATTTCCTGATATTCTACTCGGCAGCTGCCCTGAAGTTGCTTACCAGTCCGGGCTCCAGGGGAGCATGGGTATGTTTTCAATGCCATGGAGTGAAAAATTTAGTTTAGGACGTGGGCTAAACCATTTTAACTTTTTCTAACATTCAAGTAAACACATCCAGAAGAAAAAGGGAGAGGTTTGCTTTTAGTTCCATAGTCCTCCACTTGATACGAATACTGAGTTAGGGTTAGGGTTAGGGTTAGAACTTGCATTTCTCAACAGTCTTGGTCAAGAATAGAATTTCAATGGCTAAACATTGGAGACTGTGTTTTATCTTCATAATCTATTAGGATTTTGGCAGTTTAATAAAACTTGTTTAGAATTATGAAGCTCGCTGAATCTTTGGGGTGGCTGAGTAGATTATTGCATGAATTGTGTCATGAGCATAACTATTAAAGACAATTTGAAATGAGTGGGAATTACAATGAAAACTTTCACATTAAAAGATATTCACCTGGTATGAAACAAAATCCAACTGCAGCACAAAATCCATCACATTTGTTTTCACTTTAAAACAAATTAAAGCCACCTGCTAAGGCCCAGGTGGCAAACACAAGGCCCACAGGCCGAATCCGGCCCTCCAGCTTGTTTTATCTGGCCTGCAACTTGTTTCTACCCCGAGGCAGCCCCGAGCTCTCCCTTAACTGTTTAGGAGTACTTACGTTTATACAGTCCTAAAATTACATTCAACCGCTTGAAGGCAACTGTGAGGCTGATGTGGTCCCTGGTGAAAATGAGTTTGACACCCCTGTGTAAGGGGTTGCTTTATGAAGCCAACTGAGTGAACAAGTTTGATTCACCTTTACAAATCTAAATACTTCAAAGGAGTGTTATTGTGAAAACTAGCTTTGCATAAATTTAGATGAAAAATTACAGACTACCCCCCAAATATACAATAATTGCTACCAGTATTAAGTTACATATAAAGTTTTGGAATTAACAAAATATCCTAAGAATAGTGGTGGTTGCACCCTCTCTGTCAAACCGACTTTCTCAATTAGCAAAGTCAAAGCTTTAAATAGAGATTCCGTAAACAAAATAATGGAAAAATATTGTATCATTTTCCATGTATATCTCTATGCTTTACTATGAGATTATGTGCAGTGCCATTAATCATGCAGAAACAAAGAGTTTACTGAGATTTATGTCAATGATGTGTAGAGTTCCCACTGTTCATAAAGGGAGCTAAGGGGAAGGATGGGATTCACAGGATAAGAAAGAAAGAGAGATCTCTGCCACAGCTCAAAGAACAGTCACAATACCAAAACTCAGATTAACATTGCTTATGCTTAGTCAGTATTTTGAAAAACCTCATGAAGTGAAATAATATGAAATGTACTTTGATTGTAGGAAGAGAAAGTCCATCATATATTTATCATCTTTCTGTTTTAAGGAATCATCAGATCCTACACACTCAAATAATCATCTTGCTAGTAAGTGTCTGTATTTGGGGAGTGTGATAAACCTCTATTAGTATGATGATGAAAAAATCACAAGATGTCCCAACAATTTTATGATTTTTTTAAAAAAATGTATTGGGGTGACATTGGTTAATAAAATTGTATAGGTTTCAGGGCTACAATTCTATAACATCATCTGTATATTGTATTGTGTGTTCACAAGCCCAAGTCAAGTATCCTTCCATCACTGTTTATTTCCACTTTACTCTCTCATACTCCCCCCACACCCCTCCCCCTCTGGTGATCACCATACCTCAGCATACTGTTGTGTATCTATGAGGTGGTTTTTTGTTCGTTTGTTTGTTGCTTAATCCCTTCACCTTTTTCACCCACTACCCCCTTCCCCCTCCCCTTGACACTTGTCAGTCTGTGCTCTGTGTCTATGAGTCTGTTTCTATTTTGTTTGTTAGGTTTTTTTTTCATTTCTATCTGAATCCTCCTGAATTTATTGTTTGGGGCATCTTACACTATTGGGTTATGACATGGGCACATTGAACAGGTTCTTATTTTCATCATGCTTTTCTTTATAAAATTAACAAATTAATTTTAAAGTAATACATAAACTTTAAAAATATATGTCATAATTTTGCTTTTTTTCCTATGTAGGATTGTAGAGATACACGTAAAGTTAAGCAACCAGAGCAACATAAACAATATTCTTCAATGTGGACAGTGCCTTGCACGTAGTGGATATTCATGTATTTTTGTGAGGGTGAGGAGGGAAGGAGAGAGAGAGAATGAAGAAGGGTTGAGGGAAAGGTCTCAAAACAATAGCCTACAACCTCCAATGATAGCTTTTGGAAAATTACATTTGCTTCTCTTTCTGCCAGTAAGATATGTAAGTGCTGGACTTCTCTAGTTTAACACCAGAGGTCCTACTCATCCATGAAATGCACTTAAAAACTAATAAATTAGATACCTTTATTTCCACCAGTTTAATTTTTGTGTAAAAATTGCCTGTTTTTTTCCTTGTATACTAGAATTGCTTTCCCATATTTGTTGTATGTCAATCTCATGAACATGCAAATACACATGCCAGCCCCCCCCACACACACACACCAGTCTTAGAAAAATAATTTTCTCAGACCACAGGGACTTGGGGGAATAACTTTTGGTCATTTGCTCTTCGATTCCTTATTTTATTCAGATTTATATTATGCCATTATTTATAATTCTCCTTTTCATTGGAATTATTTGTCTGTGTTCTCTCTCTTTGTTGTTCCTTAAAAAGCAAGACTGTTGAATTTACATGTTTGTGATTTACACCCAAGGGCAGCCAGAGCAGTGGAGGCAGGGGCCAGGGCATCTGTTCCCCGCACTGCCTGGTAAGGGAAACTTTGACCTGCAAAGCAAATGTTTTTCTGAAATTTATTTTTCTTTACCCAGACGAGTCAATTGTTTGGCGGTGCCAAACACAGATGTTGTGATGAGATTCAGCCTCTCTGAACTTAGTTGGCTTAGCAGTAAATGCAAACAGGAATTGTATTATCAGAGTTGTTTTCTTAGCACAATTTCCTGAAACAACAATTAAAAGGTCATAAAGCCACTGTTATTCTTAAACCACATATTGTCCTAACTTCATACAAAATAATGACACTTAAAGAAAGCATTAGAATAATATTTATTATATGTATTCTTTATACTTCTGCATTAAGATTAGAAAGTATCAAAACATGAGTGAGATTATTGATGACAGTCTTGTTAACTTTTAGCAAACCACTATTATTCAGGGACTAATTATCATGTTGGGCCCTATTTATTAACTTCATTTACTTTCCAATTTTTTTCTACTTTCATCATTGTCCCCAGTTATTTCTCAGCTAACTATCATATCATATTAAGTTTCAGGAGTGACAGCAAAAACAAAAAAATAGGTAGAAACTATACTAGTTTTGCTGATAGAATTGAACTGCTATGTAATTCAATAGGCAAACTGGTTGAATTTGGACTATGATCTTTTAAAAATAGTCTGTGGATTTCATAAGCAAACATCCCTTTGGCAGTTAGAAATGCACATCAAAATGTACAAAGTCTTAAAAAAAACAGTGGACAGCACATTCTCATTTACAAAGTAGTTTCTCATGTGCTACTTTATTTGCATCTCATTAAGGATCCTTATGAAAGGTAGGAAAGGTTTTATTATCATCTTCATTTTACAGGTGATATAATGCTTGAGATGCTGTGTTCGGTGACCCCAGATCACATAGCCAGTGAGTAGCAAGGAAAAGCCAGACTTCAAACACAATCTTCTGATTCTGTCCAGTGAGTCTGTTTAACATTCTCCTAGCCTTTCCTTCATAGAAGAATAACCTATTGACTCTATTGACTTGTATAGGCTTATACTTCACTGATAGGCCAGGAATGGACAATAGTGACTTATTACCATTCACTGTGTTTGAACTGCCTAATGAACATTTCCTCACTGGCTTGATTGAGATTCTGTGATCCTTAACTACTGTCCTTCTGTGGACTTCATTCCTTCAGCAGAATAATTTATAAGCATCGAATACAAGTAGGGATGAAATGGCAGTAATGTAATCATACAGATCCAAAGTGCCTAATTAAAAGCATTTTTTTTAAAAAAAACATACTTTGGTCTATTCAAATATAGTGTTCTACTTTGCTGGCAGCCTAGCCATTCATTATTTTTGGCAACATCCATAGCACAAGTTGAAGGCCAATGAAGTGTACTGACACTCACAATGTTCACTTTGTCTTTTTATATAATAAGGGAGAAGGAACAGACTCAAGCGCCTTGCCCTGGTCTGCGGTCCTGCAGGGACAGAGCCTGCCTTCTCCATGCTCTGCCCTCTCCTTGTTTCTCCCTTTATGCCAAGAAAGGAAGCAAGGCCATGTACCATACAGAGAGAGAAACTCCCGTGTCTCACAGCTGGGGTCAAGAGTTAACAAAGTGGGGTCAAGGAAATGC